AAAAAAAAAAAAAAAAAACACATCATAGTAAAACCAATACCTTCTCAGCTTCGCATCGAAGCTAAAAATGGATTCATATTTGTTTTTCGTGATAACGACGTTGGTCATATATTTCATAATTCCGATTCAAGTAATCAGAGATATTATGTTTATTGCACTGGCAATTGTGTCACTGCAGACTTTTTTGGAGATGAAACTTCTGAGAAGAAAAAGACTGTAACTGAAAAAGTAGAAACTATTGTGAATACTTGCCGGATTTCGACTATACATCCTATTAATTTGGAGATACCTATTATTTCAAATAATTTAATTTTAAAAGAACCGCTTAGAGAAGATAGATTTACGCCAACTTCGATTATTGAAACTGAAAAAGAGCCCTCTAAAACTTCTATAGAGAAAATCACAATAATAGATAATTCATTAATCTTGAAAAATACATCGTCGAAAAATAATCTTTCGATCACACCGTCTAAAATATTGCCAGAAAATAATATTACAACACCTTACACGAACATTTCAATATTGAATAACGAAATTGAATCTGTTAAAAAATTGAACTCTGAAAATATTATACAAATTGAAAAATAGCCCATCATTACATCTACAGACACTTCCGTATTACTTAATAATTCTTTTAACACGAACATATCACAGTCTACAAACAATCATTCAACTCGACTATTTAAAATATTGCCTGGTAATATTAACACATCAACTCAAGAAAACAACACTTTAATAAATAATTCTAACAACTTAAATATAAAACCGTCAAAAAAATGAACAGAAATTATTCAAACATCTAACACTAACAGTTCGTTACTAAGTAAAAAAAACTAAACCTATTACATTAGAAACCCTGGAAAATACTAAAAAGAATAGAACTTTAGGATACTAATTACAAAATATCCGCTATTAGAACTCGTCCACATGATATTAAAAAACATTTATGGGATATTATTTAGAGGTATTTATTGTTCTCTAAATTCGACGAAGGAATCGTGATGAACATTGGTAATAAAATAATTATTTATACAAACTTTAGTATTTTACTGTTAACGATAACATTTTTTTATTTTTCAGAATCATATTATTCCGTTTGTCCTGAGATCTTAAGCACACATATAGCGTTGAGATGTCGCTATGGATCCGTTTTGTGGTGCTGGTGGAAACGTCATCCAATTGGCCAAGAAATACACACAAGTAATCGCTGTGGATATCGATGCTAAAAAACTTGAATTCGCCAAAAAAAATGCAGAGATTTATGGAGTCAGTGACAAAATTATATTTATACAGGGAAATTTCTTCGAGATTGCAGAAACGTTAAAAAAATATAAGCCACAGGTCATAGTGTCGTCTCCCCCATGGGGCGGCCCTTCGTATAAGAAACACGAAGTTTACAGTCTCCAGAAACATATGTGTAATGAATACGAAGGAGGCGGTAAAAAACTCTACGACCAGCTGAGAAGTATTGCTCCCAACGTAGCACTGCACATACCTAAAACTACAGATCGAAAAGAGGTAAATGAATCAAATTTCTATAGATAAATCACAATTATAATTAACGTTGATCAATTAATTTTCTAGTTAATACAATTTAGAAAATTATTCGACCTCAACATGGGAATTCACACACAATTACATCGACGAAAGACACGATTCTATAACTGCATTTTTCGGCCGATTTTTCAACATGAACAAGAAGTACTTATTTAATAAACTTTACACGAATAGAAAAACATCTCAAATATCCAGAATCCACTGAATATTATTATAGTTAAATTATTATTCATCCAATTTACATCTACAAATTTCCACATATTCTAATTTTCAATATTTCAACGTTATACACACAGAAAAAAAACGTTCCATGCTTTAATGAAATTGAATTTTGTTATTAGCCTAGCGTTTTACTTAATAATAACGCTGAAATGAATTAAAATAATAATTATTCTTTTAAAATAAAACCACACTCAATAAATTTAAAGATTTTTATAATGACAATTTAAAGATACCGTAATCTAATCAATAAAATATAAATATTTAACACAAAGGAGTCCATTATTTGTTTCATGCACACAATTTACTTGAATGTAATAAAAATATGTTTCTTTTAAAGGATAGGGTATTGATATAACCAAAAAGTTCTACGTTTTTATCATAGAGAATCTTTATTTTTAAGTAAAAAATGTTACTTCAAATCAAAACTAAATTGAATTAAAGTATTAATGTTTTACTTAAACTAAAAGTAATTATGACTTTGATTTAACGAAAGTGTAGGCAAATTATTTGTTTACTAACCCCACTAGGCAGTTTTCATTATTTCAATACCCTGTCGTCTTTATTTTAATGACATTTATCGTTAAATAATTAAATCCACGTTTATTTTTAGCATATTTGGGTAAATTTTTTGGAACTGTTATTATTGTGCTATTAGATAACGGTGACAATACGCAAAAATTATTTTACACTTGGCATCGTTTTGGTTAGTGTATAGTGTCTAGTGATTGTTTTTATAACTAAACGGAAGAAATAATTTTAAATTCTGTCGTCATTGAAAATAATGCATTTTCCGAAGAATTTTCACACGAATCAGCTCTATTAGATATACTAGGAGAGTTAAAATGTAATTGCTTCTTCAGTATATTTATCGGTAAGTACACTTATTTATTTTTATATCTTTTAGACGTGTGACGTTTTAGTAATTATCGGTTAATTGACTTTTATACTTTCATTAAATTTAGTGATTTGAAAAATATTATCTCTAAATTTTTTTTTTAATTCTGTTTTTTATAAATTATAGGATATAGCATTAAATTCTCAACTCCTTACTATATTTAATGTACATTTTAGAACATGGAATAACATGTGAAAGCCTTAAATATATTATTGAAAAACACTTACAAGACATTTGTCCAAAAGCCTGTTATGGTCAATGAATAATATTTGAGCACCATTTAAAAAAGTGGTAGGCAAACTTTGTTAGTGTGAGTTAACTAAATTAATTTTAAGTCTTTTAACAGACCTTTCATTTTTGATCATTTCTATAGGAAAAATCTAGTAACACTAGTGCTAGTAAAAATAATGCATCAGAATCTTTATCTGATTCAGAAATGTCTGAATACTCTAATTTGATAATGTCATTCTATAAAAAAAATTTAAAGCTTACTGATGAATTAAGGAAAATGTTGACTGAAATAATTACTAAATATATGATACAGCATAAAATATATAGATCTCCTAAAATCATTAATAATATTTCTGATAGTATCAATAATATATTTAAATCTGAAGTTAAGGTTTGTAAAATTTAAAAAATTTTGTATGAAAATTGGTACAATTTTAAATATATCAGTATGTCTTATAGGAAACATACTTTATTAGCGCGCCTGCATAAAAACTAAAGGGAATATTGTACTCAAAATATCATAAAACATTGACAATATTACGCAAACACAAATTGTGGTCTCCCATAAAAAAAGTAAAAAAAAGTTCTGATGATAGTAACTTACAGCAAACATCTTTACTATATAGATCAACTATAAACAAATAATTAATAATAGTAATTTTTACTAATAATTAGTAAAATAATAGGGTTTATTTGTAGATAATGAATGTTTAATTAAAGTAAAAAAAATGGCTTCAGTTTAACATTGAGCCTATAAATGAAGTAATTATAAAATGGGAAGAGACTTGTGATATTTGTTGAGAATATCTGTTGTCTCCAAGTATTAACATTAATAATATTCTCGAAGAATGGCCTATGTACAAACAGTCATTTGGTCACAGCTTGGTATTTTAATCATTAAAATTTCTTAAGTATTTTTAAAAGTAGTTTCGCATGTATATTTTACATTATATTATATTTTACAATGATTTTACATTTTAATATATATATATATATATTCTCTTATATATGTTTATTATTATTTTTATTTATATTTGATGTTTCAATATAATGTTAAATTGATGGAAACCAATGGAATATGTAACTATGTTAAAATAAAATTTTATTTATGTAAATTTTATTCCTTATTAATTAGGAATTCACCTATTTATATTTGTAATTTGTATTTATCATTTATATTAATTAATTTTTTACAATAAAAATAAATATACTTAATAAATGGCAAAATGTTAAAATTATTAAATTAAAATAACCCAATTATTTGTTTTTATTATTCGCAAAAAAATGACCTAATAAAAATAGCTTAAAATCAATGCAACTTACAACTCGTCTTATTTATGTTTCAAGAAAAGTTAAATTTATGATTAGAGTTAATTATTACAACGAATTATATCTTTAAAATAAATACCATAGGATGTATTTTCATTAAATTAATGTTAATAATTTTCCAACAGTTTAATTACCAAGTATTTAAAACTATGGACTGTAAGAATAAAATTAAAAAAATTAATAATTGTTTCAATGAATATTCTTTAGCATTAATATAATGATTAAAAAGATGTCATTTCAATGAATCGATTCTATAGGCTCCAAATTATACCCGTTTTTCCTTAGTTTTATATACTTTTTCCATTAATTTTAATAACTATTTCTCTTGGTGTAATAGAGAGGACAACAAAACCTACATAGCCCAGTCACAACAGAATTGCACATTTGCATTTATGCACAGAAACACAATTTGTCATAACAGGACTAAATCCACCATACATTATTATCTTATTATATAATAGAACAAGGAAAAAAACGCTTTTCTGGAAAAATTACTTAGCATGCTCCGATTTTCAAAATTTTTTTTTTCAACGAAAGTACTTGGTCACCAGACTCTAAAAAAATTATTGGCGAAGGTCGGAAAATTTTTGGCGCTTGACCGCGAGCGTTTTACGACTTAAGGTTTGAAATTTTTAGGAAATTCCTGAGATATAATAAAAAAATCTATTCAATGCGTTGATTTTTCACCGTTTTACGAGCTTTTTTTTTTCACGCGCTCAAGACACTAGGGCGTGCCGCCTGAAATACTTGAGACACTTTACGACATGAAAACGATTTTTTTTTCGATTCACAATCATACCACGGCGTTCTGTACGTGCCGAGGAAGCGACAAAAATCCAAGATCCGACCAAAACTCTGGCCGATACGAGCGTTTGAAATTCATCAAATTTTAACGAAAAATAACGATTTTTCTGTATGCCAATAACACATGAACGCGTCCTATTATATCTTATTATATAATAGAACAAGGAAAAAATGCTTTTCTGGAAAAATTGTCATATTCGAGCAGTGTAAAAGTAAATAAATAAAATTTGATTAAATTTCTTTTCTTTTTTTTTTTTCATCGCTTTATCAGCCCATAAAATCCATAGGGGCCTTCCCAAAATAAGAGTTGGTGTAAAAATGGTTTCTTAACCATTTATTTAATTTAAATTAATTTTATTTTTGTTCTTAAAAAATATGCTTTTGACGTTTTCCAAAAATTTAATAATTTATTATTTAATAACATTCATATGCAAACAGAACATCTTAGAAATGGATGAATTTCATGGGTGATAATTGATTTAAAATTAACTATCGAACTTAGAATATATCAAGTTATTAGTATATTTGTCATTTTTTTTTCTGGCTTAACAATTTATAGACCGTATAATTTTACTAGAATATATTATTAAAACTAATACTTACTAAGTATTAACTTTAAAATGTGTAAATTATGAGCAAAATTAACTTGAACAAAGATAATGGTTTATTCTATTCAAAATTGTTATTAAGTATAAAAATATTTTTAAATCTTCCAAATTTTATAAAAAATAATAAATAATAGTAAAAATTTAGTATTATTAAGTTGGCTAAACTCGAAATGTTACGTTAATAGGAATCGTCTCTATGGTAAAAAAAAACATATAATTAGCAATATGAAATATATTTTTTTATATAGTTATATAATATTTTCTATATATATTTAAAAGAGCAGTGTAGTGAATTTTGTTTTATAAATGTCTTTTCAAACTTCCCTTTAAAAATTAAAGGACTAAAGAACATAATATAAGTGATAGAAGATTGATGACACTAGCATTACAATATTGTCTTTGTTATCAAACATTAATAATTTATAAAATATAATTACTGGCTAATCGTTAATGGTATAATAGTAAAGTAATCTTGATTATTCAAAGTTACAATTACCATGGAATCAAATTACTTTTAATACACATTGCAATTTTCTTAGTAAATTTAAGTTTTTAATACTTTTTAATAAAAATATTTTTCTTTCTTCTTGTGTATCAGGACTAATTAATTATATTAGCAAGTATTCAATGTTTCATGAAATGTACATTAAATTATATATGGTGATGCCATTTATTTTAATATAAACCAATACAATTTTCAATAGTTCTTAAATGAAGTACGATAAAAATTATTTGCTGTTGAACATTCAGACTTAATCCAGTCGTAAGTACATTTATTAAAATATTATTTTAAAATATCTAAAATTTCAATAAATTACCAACAATATAGATATTATTCAAGGTATATTCACTTTTTAATAATTAAAACATCCAGAAAAAAATGTGGTCATTAAAGAAATATAACACTTTATTTATGTAAAATTATTTTAGTTAAATTTGTTTGAAACCTTAATAAGATATATACTTTGAGTTTAAATAATTGCTGTTTATTTATCATGTATATTTTAACAACTGTTCATCAAAATTAAATTTTATTATATTTGTTAAATTCACTAATTACATTATATACTTTATTTGCATATTAGTACTTATAGTAGTAAATACACAAACAATAATAATTTATGGGGAGAGTCAATAATAATGTTAAAAATATGAAATTAAGATTTTTTTTTATAATATGCATAGTATTTACTATAATGGCTAACTTTTTTTTTCCAAATATATTTTATAAAATTGATAAATTACCTCTCAGATTTAACATTAGCCATTCTATTTCTTTTGGAAAAAATATTGAGAGTCAACTTTTAGCTTTCATTATATACATATATTTCTTGAATTATCTATAGTTATAATTTTTTTCTATAAACTTTTAATAATAATAAATTTATCATTTGGTTTTTTACTATAATAAACCTTTCAATAATACTTAACTTAATTAAATTGAAATTCAGAAAAGTTGTAAGAAATATTAGATCAAAATTAAGGCTAGAATGATGTCTAATTATTAAATTCGGCTGATATAATTAACCAAGATGTATTTTTATTATTCTATATTTGTACTCTCTGAATTATTAGTTATGAAATAATTTTTAAGTCCATCCCTTATGCCTTGTATGGGTGTAAACATTGTCTTTTCAAATGAGAACACATATTTTGAATTAATTTAAATGAAGTATTGTTTTAATATTAAATGGCATTTAAATTTTTAACATAAATTTATTTGTTTATTAAATATAAAACATTAAATTTTTGAGTTAATATAAATGTATAATCCATATTCTTTTAATTCTATATTTGTGTAATGATAAAAATATTACTAAAAAGATAGAAAAAGCAATAGACATTTGATGATAGAAACCAATATTTACAATATTGTCTTTGCTATCAAATTACAATAATTTTTATAATATATTTACTGGTTAATTGTTAATGTTATAATAGTAAAATATTCTTAATTATTCAAAGTTACAATTACTATGGAAACAAATAACTTTTAATACATTTCGATATTTTCTTAGTCAATTTAGTAAATTTTGGTTTTTCAGTACTTTTTAATAAAAATAGTTTTCTTACTTCTCAATTATATTATAAATAATAAATTATATTTGCAAGTATTTAATATTTAATGGGATATACGTTAAATTATATACGGTATTGCAATTTGCATTGGAGTGATTTACAATAGTGCTTTTAATCACAGTTAAATTTAAATCTAAATAGATTTTCCAACTTTTCTATAGACATATCTAGAATAAAATTTCAGTAAGTGTTATTATTATTTTTTCACCCTAAAAAATATTTTTGTTTAAGAACACATTATATCCTACATTTTTTGTGAGTTCAATATCACATAAGCTTGTAGTTGCGCTTTTACAACTAACTGTATTTAACTTTTTTTGGAATATACTTCACTTATGTTTAGACTACATTATACTTTTTATCCCCCACAAAAAAATATTTAATACACATATTATTATATACGAGATTTGATATCTTAGATAAAAAAAATGTTGTGCATTAATTGATTGAAAATTTTATTANAAAATAGCGATGAACTTATGACTCATTGTAAAGATCTACAACTAGCACTTGCATCAGATGACGGCTTAACTTCTGACATTGATGCAGTAGAATTATATAATGAAATAACAGCTCTGCAAAGACGGTTCAATGATACAGAAACTAATCCTCGAATTGTTTTGGAATATATTTGTGCAAATCAATTAGTTGAACTTTTTCCTAACACTTTTGTATCGTTAAGAATCCTTTTAACACTACCTGTGACGGCTGCCACTGGGGAAAGAAGTTTCTCTAAATTAAAAATTATTAAAAATTATTTACGATCTCAAATGTCACAGGATCGCTTAGTGGGCCTTGCAATGATTTCAATCGAGAAAGAATTAGCCTATAATATGGACATGGAAGAAGTTGTATCTGA